CTGTCTCTCTCTCTCTCTGTCTCTCTTCCTCTCTCATTTTCTCTGTCCCTCTCTTACTCTTTCCATTACTCACTCGTTGTCTCGTTTTGTCATTATGGTTCAGTGCTGTGTCTGTACAAAATTGTATGACATGATAAGTGTTTTCATGTGCTTGGTCATTGCAATTTGTTCGACATGACACTAAATACACGTAATTATGAGGGAGATTCGAGCAAACAAACTGATGATATAATCAGACCTAAGAGATCATTAAAAGAAAATCCACATGATTGGCAAACAGTGAGCAAGGCTGCAGAGCGAATGACAGTAATGAAGGAGTGAAGACAGCGTGATTTGATGTACTATACTCAACCCAGCCTGTGCTTTATCGTATAAACATCTATACATCCTTCTCCGTCAGTGTTCTAAAATCTGTTTTTACTTCTTTCTTTTATCAATGTAAACTTTTGAAATACCCAAAATAAATCATGTATTTTATAATATCACTTTATGAAGTGCAGAGACAAACATTCGCCAAGTGTCTTACACGGCAATTATAATACCATAAATTAATTTGACCAAATCTGTAGCAGCGTTGTACTCTCTAGTATGCCCACGGTTTCATGCCTATATTTTTAAGCGCTTTTTATCTAAATCTTTCTTGTGCCTATTTGAATCTTATCATTACCTATTCGAGATTGCCAACACAGCGTCTCCAAAAGATAGGAAAAAGGTTCAACAATTTTGTACAAACCGAATCATAGCTCGAAAGTCTAAAAAAAAAATAAGGAGCAAGAACATATTGGATCAGTAATTTCCTGATAACAGGGTTGTGATGATTACATTCACACTATGTTCTCCTCTCTCACAAAGGACATTATACTAACAAGCTGGGACAAGTGGCCATGTCACGACTCAAACCTTTTAGCGGATATCTCTGAGTAGCGTTTTCAAAATCCATCACGTGATCCTGCGTGACTGTCTTATTGAAACGGGCGGCGAGGTCTAAAGTTAATAATATCCGAAAAAGGGTTGCAGGAGAGTGGAGAAGAAGCTGTCTAAGGGTAGAAATGTCACAAATATTTTTAAAAAGCGATGCAAGAAGGTCAAGAAAATGGAGGCAGACATTTGACCTTTGAGGGACAAATCGTATTCAACAGGACAGACACAGGTGTGTCATGGGTTGATACAACTTCAGAAGAGATCAAATTGCAATGACTGTATTTTGCTGCCACGAATTAAGTTGGGGAATACAATACTTTGATGAGCAGGAAAGTTCCGTCTCAAGAACAATGCAGCCTGTAAGAGTATGCCATTTTGTAAAAGTTTTCCCATTTTCACAAAAAAAAATTACTGGCTCATACTCATGAAATTTTGCAGTCTTACTTTCTTTCATTGTTACTTTCTTTCTTTCTAGCTTTCTCTCTCTCTCTCTCTCTCTCTCTCTCTCTCTCTCTCTCTCTCTCTCTCTCTCTCTCTCTCTCTCTTTCTCTATCTCTCTCTCCCTCTCTCTCTTTCTCTCTTGGCCTCACTCTCTTTCTGCCCCCCCATCTCTCTTTGCCTCTCTCTCACTCACTCTCTTACTCTCTCTCTCTCTCTCTCTCTCTCTCTCTCTCTCTCTCCCTCCCTCTCTCTCTCTCTCTTTCTTTCTTTCTTTCTTTCTTGCGCGCGCGCGTTCTCTCTTTTTTTCTCCTCTGGTTTTTCCCTCTCCCTCTTTCTTTTTTTTTCTCCTCCCCCTCCAAAGTTAATTTCTCCCTTCTATGAACGCTCGCGTGAGCTCTAGTATGTATGAGTTTTGTATGTGTATGTGTGTGTGTATATGTGTGTGTGTGTGTGTGTGTGTGTGTGTGTGTGTGTGTGTGTGTGCGTGTGCGTGTGTGTGCGTGCATGTGTGCATGAATATATGTGTTTTTTGGTCTATATGTTCGTTGGCGTTTATATCGTTTTAAAGATGGCAAAAAAGAAACAGTGTGCAAAATTGGGTCCAGAAAACTTCACTTGCTCATACCGGAATATTTTAGCTTAATCCAGATTCCCTTCACTTCTTGAAATGCCTAACACTGTGTCTAGTAGAGCTTGGGACATAAACACTAATAAGGGACACGTAGCCTTCAAGATTATCTCCGCCGACTGTTCTTTTTAATGAATCGTATTTTTCTTTTTACTTAAACCAGCCAGGTAGCTTATCTATCTCCACGCTGTTGTAACTTTGCTGACTCCCAACATTGCGCCATTATGCTTATCTTTACTTTGTCTTTTTCAGATTGACGTCCATTGGAACAAAGCAGGGCAGGATGGCTGTCAGTGTAGCCCTTGTCATGTTGTCGCTTGGTTTCGCCTTCACAAGCGCCGGCATCGTGTCCACCGGGGATAACAAGACCCCACCCAGCTTCGGGAAGGGACTGAACACCCACAACTTTCAACAGTGGGACGACTGGATCAAGAAACGAAGTCGCTTCAGCTCTCCGTGGACACAAGGCGATTTCTCAGGGGACAAGTTCCAGCAATGGCAGGACTGGATGTACAAGCGAGGCTTCGGTATTCCCGACTCCACTGTGCTGGGCTCTAATGGGACCCCAAGGTTCCAGGGTTGGTCTGAGTGGATGAGCAAGAGAGGTTTCGGCATCGGGGCGCCCTTTGCTGGCTCCTCGGACAGCGAAGGGGGTCAGTTCCAACAGTGGCAGAACTGGATGGCCAAGAGAGGATTTGGAATCGGAGGTCCGTTTCCCGGCTCTGCTGATGGTGACAAACAGGCATTCCAGCAGTGGCAGGACTGGTCGAAAAAGCGAGGATGGGACACACCGGTCAATGGCTTCGGGGGTGGACCTGGAGCGCCTAGTTTCCAGAGCTGGGTGGACTTCACCAAGCGTCAGCAGTTCGATCCTCCATCTGCTAGCTTCGGAAAGGGAAACTTTCAGAACTGGAACAACTGGTACAAGCGTCAATTAGATGGAAGCCGTGCTGAGTTCGGCAAACACCAGTTTGGAAGCAGAGACGAGATGATTAACTATCAAAATTTGTACAAAAAGAGTTTGAAGAAAAGACAACTTGGCTACGCTCCTGAGAGATTTGGTGTCAACCGCTACTTCGCCAATGGTCTGCAAGACTGGAGGTCTACGTTCAAAGGAGTGAAGCGTAGCAAGGCTAATGAAGCCGCGAAAAGCAATGATCAGTAAACCCAAAGAAGATGAGAGGAAAATTATACTAAATTTTATAAAATCCTGTCCAGAGACCAGATTGAACGAGTTTTAGCTTTGTGAACTCTGTCATGTCTCTACCTTAAACATTAATATATACCATCGCCACAGTCAGTAGACCTGATGTAGACCTGGAGATGCAAGAGGAAGTCAGAGGGAAGGCTGGGACAGTGAACTGATAGCCTTAATGAACATGGTCGAACGACCACTCTTACAATTGAAAACGTAGAGTAACACTTCCTAGCCTAAAGCATTACTAGTAGGAAAACGGAAACATTGTCTCACTCCCTTAGTAAGACAAGAAAATGACGTTTACTCAACTTGCAATTCATTTCAATTTTGTTCAGAATTTATTTTTTTAGTTTTATTGATAATTTGTTTATTTGAAAATGTAATAAAAGCTTTCAATGTCCTTTTATATCAGAAATAAATAATGGTGTTTTGTTTTCACCCCCCTTGTTTATGTATTGTATGTAGAGGTGTGCATTCACTAACATCAATGACAATGCGTACTTGATCATTATGAAGCACTTTCATTGGGGAATGTTACTCGCCAGGGGTGATGCAAATATTGCTGCCAGTTATACTCATTTGTGTCTTCACAGAGAAGGGCTCATTGATATATCATCTATTATGCTGGGCTTTGGTCTGGATGACCATGATTCGAACCCCCTGATACAGGGTTATTGAATTTACGTTGTTTGGGAAGTTACCAAAGCTCCTCACCAACTGGACTCTGCCTGATCAGAGACAGACGTTCGATTCGGAGGTCCCACTTCTTTAAACAACCTGGCAATTATTATTGAAATGGTCGCCAAACCCAAACATTACTAATGCTTCATGGATGGTGGGAAGAAGAAGAAGAAGAAGAAGAAGAAGAAGAAGAAGAAGAAGAAGAAGAAGAAAGCATTTTTATAGCTCAAATTTCCGCTCGACAGCAAGCTCTGTGTGTTTTGCATATCAGATGCAGATCAGGGGTCACTGTGGGCGTCAATGTTGAGTTGGTGCTGTGCCTGACAGAAACAGGTAACAGCTGGGTGTTATCATTGATGTTCCCATGACATGGAGGGTGGAGGAAACTTTTCGTTTACGAGGAACTCTTTTTTTTTGGTTTTGTTTTAGTAGAGGTTTTACGGCGCTCGCAACTGCATAGAGTCATATGAGCGCCAAGGAGTGGATGTCAAGAGAGATATCCTTACAGGGAATCAGACTTACTCTGCTCATCTCTCTAGTTTCAACAGCACAAAGTCCAAGATTCAAACTAATATTGCTCAGAGTGTGACAAACATACAAAAAGAGTATAGGAAAATGACGATTGTAAGGATTAGTTCCCTGTTGTAGTGCAGGCACAGTTATGAGCATGACATTGTTGGATCAGCCCATTTAAATGTCTACTGTGCATTAGAACGAGAAATGCCTCCCCCCCCCCCTTTTTTTGGGAATAGCCTAAAGACACTTCAGTCAGTGGCACCGCCCCGCTGGCAGATTGAGAAGGAGATGTAGATCAATAAAAAGTAGTTACTGAGAAAACAATTATTAACCTTCACTTGGTGCAATATGAACGTTGCCAATGTTTGTTTGCTTGTTTGTTTATTTGTATATTTGTTTGTTAGTTGACACAACGAAACTCTGAGGAAGTTCCTGAAAGATGTCACATCTTCAACTTGCAGTTCAACCATCAGCTTCTCAAACTGTCCATACAGGTGTCTTCTTATGAGCCATGGTCTACCCAACAGGTCCTCCTCCTCCTCCTCCTCCTCCTCCTCCTCCTCCTCCTCCTCCTCCTCCTCCTCCTCCTCCTTCTCCTCCTTTTCCTTCTACTCCTGTTCCTTCTCCTGTTCCTTCTCTCCTCCTCTTCTTGCACCATATGTAGGCATGAAGTACGCATCCATTGTCTGTGTCATGTGAGACATGTTGAAGGAATGAGTACAAACATTTTGCCCCCCCCCCCCCTCTCATTATATTATTTTATAACACTGCGCGCCGATTAACTCGGTGATGGGTCGGTAACATGGTCAGCATGGTCGGCACGTTTCTTGGCTCTGCAAGCCACCAGGATTCAAACTAATATTGCTCAGCAAGACGCTCGAGTGCTCGCCGACACAATAATGTCAACAGTCATGGCCAGATGCTCGCCACGATTAAACCTGAAATCGGCATTATTTTATTGGAAATTGCTCGTCGACGCTTCTCCTGTATGTGTGAACATCGTATTTGTCCCACGGATTCTGTTGAACCTCTGGTTTGCCGATCTGGACTTGAGATTTGGCTTTCTCAATGGGGATATCGCAATCTTGTCTCATCTGATCAAATGGACACAACGAAACTTTCTTGTTCCTTTGGGGTCTTAGAGTACCTTGCAGATCCTTTTGGGTTGTATGCAAACAAACGCATATTGTTTCTGAATTGATGGAAACGAAACGAGATTTACAAAAGCAGGTATCGAGTCTGATTTCGAAATGAAATAAACAGATCTTAGCATATCGATGTCTTGAGAAACAATGATCATAATGGATCTTATTGTTCTGGGAAAAGAGAAGGCACAACATCAAACAAATATTCAAATATTTTTCTTTTTTTCAACATTGCCATTTACGACCATTGGCTAAAAGAGATAGAAGTTGACAGGCCAAAGACAGAGCGGTGATCCGTAAAAAAAAGCTATCAATGATCATTGGGTTCTTGAAATCACCAGCATGCCTAAGTACCACGCTATTATCTCTATTTTGCCTACGTCGTTCCAATAATGTCGTGCACACACCGATGTGCTGTGTTTTGAGGTCATGTGCTTGCTATTTTGGAACCCACCAAACTGACTCTTTTTATGCATCCCACCTCATTAAAGACAAGTATGCGAACTGTTGGCTGAGAAAGATCAAGGGCATCAACAGAGTCACGAATATCTTGGGCCCCCTGTGATCACACTTGAGTTTTTCGATGCCTACAGTATTCTTATTGGGCAGGCAAGTGACGGCCTGTAATTTGTTCACCGTATAGATGTGTATCCTCCTCTTTAAGGCAATTCACAGGAAAGTCACAGAGAGAGAGAGAGAGAGAGAGAGAGAGAGAGAGAGAGAGAGAGAGGAGGGAGGGGGGCGGAGAAAGTAAGAGAAACTGGCATGAGTCAACCGAAAAATTTTTTTTTTAAATACATACCGGTTTAATTCCTGAATCGCAGGGCTGGAAACCTTAAATGCGTCTCCTTGAGACCAGTTTATGTAATACCTGATTCCTTTAGGACCGGTTGATCAGGTCCACCTAATATTCCCCAAGATAGCAGTCAAACGAAAGAACGATTTCAGTTATTAGAGGCATCGAATACGAGTTGATAAAGGAATGTGAGAAAAGTTCAATTCTACCGAGCGCTTTTTAGAACGTTTTGCTCTGCATGTGCGGTGTCTTTAGACTTGGCTGGTAAACTACTTACTGCACCAAGATGGTGGGGTGAGGGAGAGGCTTTTGTACGTTATCAAGTGTGCTTTAAAGGGGTGTATTAAAGAAGAAATTTTAGTCCAGCTACAAAACGATTTGAAACCAAAATATTTATTCACTTCCCAGTGGTGAGCAGGGGACAACAAAAGCTCAGTAGGCTGTAAAAATCGCAAATTTTATCGTTTTCAAAAGTCTGTATTAAAATTAGGTGGACTGAAGGGGCAACGTGAAAAGTCGACAGCAAAATAGAAAAAGAAATCGGTGGTTACAATATTGGTCCAAAGGAAATCCAATCTTTTACTGGTTCAAAAGTTATTTTGTAGTTGCTGGTACAAAAGGGATTCTTGCAAAACCTTAACGTTTCATAATTTTGGCTTCATATGGCATTCCAAAATTTTATTCTGAAAAGTTATAGTGCATTTAACACTGGGCTTATTAGGGTTCCCAGGTTGAGTCTAGCCCTTAAGAAAACGATGTTAGGATACTGTTGTCAAAGTATAAGAACACGAAGTAAGTAGATGCGTGCTTCCAGCTCTCGACTGTCGGACCCGAAGCAGCCGAGTTAATTAAGAAAAATGCTCAAAATCACATGACAGTGTACGAAACTATCAAAGAAGCACTTAAAATGGCAGGGTAGGAAAGGTCTCTAATTCTAACCATCAGAAAGAGACAACTGAGATACAATATGGCGGGTTGGCGGGCGCTTTTGCGCGGTGAGCTCCTTCTTTCCTAACATCTGTCGCTCGTTATCCTTCTTCCTATTTATGACTGTTACTCTCTTGTAACAGATCTAATGTTGGGTATTTATGTGACCTCACTGTGTTGCAAGTGACGTTAAACTCTTACTTCCTCATAGAAACTTCAATCAGAGGAACTGAGCTGATCGAGAGGACTCCGAACTGGAAGAAGAAGATGTCAGACATATCATGGCCCATGTCAGTTTGCCGGAGTCTCTCTTTGACTTTCATAACGGCAATAACCTGACCTGGTTGAGCTAGGACCATCACTATTATATATCAGGAAGGACTTGGATTACTTTAAATGATATGTTGTAGTTTATTGTGGGTTGACACGACAATGACCAGCATTCGCGATTAGGTTAATTATGACGGCAAGAAGAAGAAGAAGAAGAAGAAGAAGAAGAAGAAGAAGAAGAAGAAGAAGGAAGAAGAAGAAGAAGAAGAAGAATACCTCTCTTAATCACCCTCCACCCATTTCCTGAAAGAAAACAACAGATATTAAGTTCGATTGGACTTCCGGTTTACAGATCTAATATACTTTTGTCACACTTCGTCTATCTCCCATGCAATAGTTCCGAGCTTTAAACGTTCAGGTGCCTAAGTACGCATAAAATTTATCGTAAAATAAATTACAGGAAATTAAGGCTATCGAGTGCATTTGGGAGTACTTTGGGGAAGGAGGGGGAGGGAAAGAAGAGGAAGAGCTATGGCCAAAATGAAAACTCAAAATTATGTTTTGTGAGATTACACTTACATCGACCTCTTGAAAGAAACAGGATCGTCAATTAATATGGAACAGTGTAAGGGGCCATGGAGCTGACAAAATGGCATTTCGATAGTGCAAAAGTCTACGCAAGAGGTGGTAAACTGAAGACGATTTGAAGCTTGGCTTGAGGTTATAAAGAAAAAGGGGGAAAAGGGCCAGCGCATTGCTTTCTATTTGTGGGGGAGGAGGCGGGGTAGAAAAAGAGATAAAGAAATAAAGGGTGGGTGTTGGTAGAAAGGGGAACTAAAAGTGGATCGAAGGGGTCGCCTTCGAACTGCGCATTATAATATTAAGGAAGGGCGGGGGCGGAGAGAGAGAGGAAGAGAGAGAGAGAGAGAGAGAGAGAGAGAGAGAGAGAGAGAGAGAGAGAGAAGGGCTAAGCACAAATCCACTGAGAGGTGAGGACAATTTAATTTAAGTAAAAAGGCTAAAGCGGGGAAATCATGAAAAGAAAGAAAGTCTTGCTCGAAAATTAATTCAGAAAATTGCTTCCAAAACAGCGCGATATTTCT